AACATCGTAGGGGAACGGTAGTAATTTACCAACACACACAGTTTGACACAGTTTTTGCTGCCCTCATGCGGTCATAGGTCTCTTGTGTCTGGATACTTGTTGCCATACTGCACTGGCCATAACAGCTAGCAGCGGTAGCCAGTAGTTGAGTTGTATCTACCAGCAGCCGTAGCAATAGCTGGAAAAGTCGCGCTCCGTCCACACACCAATGACAGGAACACTAAACGTAAAAATATGCGCAAGGTTATGTATTGATAATTGGCTGCTTTTTCTCATCGTTATCGCCAACGCTGCGTGAAGGTATCTGTGATTTTGAAAAGCGCAGCAACTGAACTCGGTGAGTTGCCTGTCTGGACTGGGTTTAGCTGTTAGCTTTAGCTCCACTAGTAAATGAAGTCAGCTAACTTACCCGGTAGCTAGGTAACTCTGCTTTCGTCCAATGCCCCTTTATATGTGTCACCTTAACTAGCTAAACGAGACTGTACGATGCGAGTGACTTCTATAGGAATTAAACAGTTTTCAAAGCTCCCTTTGTTTTTTATCCTCTTTACTACGGCTAAGTTACAGTGATTAGCATGTAGCCGAATTAGCTAGTTTCATCCACTGGCTAATTCCAACTATCGGTAGAAACACTCATGTAGTGGTTTTCAGCGTTAACTGCATTAGTAGCTGACCCGACTCAAGCTGCATGTCTTATATATATATTCTTATCTGACGGTGCAACATTCAGTACGAGCTGAGAAACACGTTCATATGACACGCTAACGTTAGCTATCCTCATCACAGTCCCAACATTGTTTTGGTTGTCGTTGAAAACATCTACGGGGCGTTTAAATGCCTCCCTTTAAAGAATGTCCGCAGTTTCTACGTCGATTAATGTTATTTCTTGCGTAGAGTCTCATTCCCCGGTTACGCTAAATGTTCACCCCACTAACATCAATTATGGCAGGCTTCACCGTGAGCTGACCCCGCTGTTTGTCTAGCTTGTTGTAGTGCCAGGCCTTGGCGTAGGACGGGACACAGATGTGTAGCAGAGAGCGATGCTTAGGCTGCCGCTGTCAAAGCTGTAAACACTGTAGTTCAGAAAAAAAACAAACAAAAATAGGTGCAAGTCAATCTTGTCTTCACATTTAGGATATGGATCCTGAACGGCAGAAACGAAGAGAGGAGATTCAGAAGGCCATGAGCTTTATCCAGTAAGAGAGAAATATCTGGAGACCACCAGTGATTTCATACCAACGTATATAAATTTTGTGTAGATGTTTGACACCTCTCCTTTCCTATCCATAGGTCTTCATTGCCTTTCCCAGAGCCAGAGAGTTATGAGGTATGTGTTGATCTGGTTTATGCTTTTTTTTGGAGCTTCATTATCACCATTTTGTTTATGTAATATTTACACGCAGACTGCCACATGACAGTACCCACATTTTGTTCTAATTTTACCCAGGCCAAGGTGTAAACTTGAGTTCAGACATTTTTTTAATTTTGTCCTCAATCTGTTACGCATTCCTCTTCTTATTCCACATTCCTTTACTTTTCTTTCTGTCTAATATTGCCTGTCTTTTTTTGTTTTGTTTATGTCTCCTCATTTCAATGCTCATTCAATCATTTTACCCACTTCTTACACATTCCTTTCAGGCATTTCTCACTCAGTTGGTGTGTAACTTGCTGGATGAAGGGAATTCTTGTTTTCGGGATGGAGACTGGCATCAAGCGACCCAGCAGTATGGAGAGGGGATCAGTGTTGCTCGCTACGCCCAGGCTGAGGCTCTCGTCATCCCCCATGAGCTGCTCGAGAGCCTCTACGTCAACAGGGCTGCTGCCTACTACCAGATGGTGAGAAAGAGTGGGATGGATGTGTTGCCTCCCAATGTACTTAAAGATGTGTTCATGTGGAAGACTCAAAATCTGTAGAGAGTGAAGTCTCAAGTAAACCCGTAGATACAAGTTTCAAGATTGGTGTAGAATTATCATTACATGTAATTGTTCCTTATTTAATCACCTTTGGTGGAGGTATAGGTTATAACTTTTCCTGTGTTTTTCTGACTCAGAGGGAGTACGATCGCGGCGTTCAGGACTGTGATAGCGCACTGTGTGTGTCAGAAGGAAGTCGCAGGGCTCTGTACCGCAAAGCGCTCTGTCTGAGGGAGATGGGACAACTCAGAGAGGCTTACACATGTGGAACCAAATGTCTCCTCACAGCACCAAATGTATGCCACCACTTAAAACAAAGACTTATCATTTAATTTTGAAGCGGAATGAAATACTGTGTGAATATTGTGCTACTGATATGATAACTTCATGGCTTTTACCTATTCTGAGCATCATTTTTTTTAATAATTAATCTTCCAGGACAGACAGGTGAGTGATCTGGCTCAGGATCTAGCCAACAAACTGGGACTAAAGGGTCGTAAGGCCTACGTCAGCCCACAAACGGAGTCTACGGCCACTGAAGGTGACAGTCATGGAGAGACTTCCACACCCACTGGAGAGGTAGGTGCTGCTGTCACTGTGTAAAGTTTGTAATATAATGAAGTGGCTGAGTGAGAGCCTGATGGGTTCCTCCTTTCTTTAGATGTCCTCCAATGGAATTGAATCTCTGGGTGACATTGCACCAGGTATGTCAGGCTGCCACATGTTGAACTTACCTGCTCATCCCCAGCCCCACTTGTTTCTGACAGTTATGTTCTTATTCCTCCTCCCCAGCAGACATCTCCAGCGCACAGTGCATCCCCGCTCCTTTGGCTACTCCTATTCCAGTCAGCGATGACCCAACGACCACTGTGGTAACCTCGTGCACTGACCTCTCAGAGAGCCCCAGCAGCCAGGTGCCTCCCATGCAGTACTCGGTCCCGGTGTCAGAGCACATGGATGAATGCAGCAGTAGTGTCATTAAGGATGAGCTAGACAGCTTGTTAGAATCCATCCCCAAGAAAGTCAGTGAGGTGAGTGCAGGAAAAAACGATATCACTCGGCACAGTCACTAAACTGGACAGTATTTCTAACCCTTTCATTTCACCAGGAATGATCTAAACTCGGCATATTCCTGTGTCTCCTCCAGACTCCAGTGGGTGCTATTCCCACAAACCTGCCCAACACAGCAGTTGGTCTCCGGCCTCCTTACTCACCCAGCCTTCCAGCCCCCTCAGCCCAGCTTTCCCAAGCCTTTTTTAGCTCCTCGATCAGCGACATGCCTCCTCTGGAATCTTACTCGTCGCTGCGGGACCAGGGCTCCACCCAGGCGCAGGACGCACTGGGAGGCTTTTCCACGACGTCTATGGAAGGAGAAGGGAAGGCAGGAGTCGCCGCTGGTGGACTCGACTCATTGTCAGAGTACACTCTCCCTGGTGAGCAGAAAGGGAAAGTTTTCATGAATGGTTTGCTGCTTGACAACACATGTTGATCTAAGTAAAAAACTTTTGTGAAGAAAGAGCATTTAAGGGTTTAAAATAAATTGCACATGGAATGCTTATGTGCATAAGGATGCTTATGCAGTTTAGGATCTGATGGTTTGCACTTAAAATGACAGCTGCAGGAATGAAAGCGTGTCGATAAGCATGCCAACTGTGATTTAAGTACAATATAGACGATATTACCCCACACCAATAGGATGCACATTAATTAAGTTTGACCCAGTACAATGATTTTAAGTTGCTTATCTGCCAGAGCACAGTTTCTAGGGAGCTGGCTTTAACCTGAGATATGCATCATCAGCAGACGGTGTGAGTCAGCAACAATACAATGTGAAGTCTGACATCAGTGTCCTTGTGTCTGTGTTCTCCAGGGGGACGAGTGTGTCACAGCTTCATTCCTGGAATGCGCAACCACAGTGCACATGCAGTAAGCAAAACACACATATCTGTTACAAGAAATCCATTTTATTTTTTTAGTTGTTTATTTATATTGTCTTTCTTTTATATCACATCTCTTTCTGCTCTTCTTTTTCAGAATGGTCCAGCAGGAACCAACCTGTCTCTGCTCTCCAGGAATCCTCTGGCTGCCACACACGAGTTTCGGCAGGCCTGTCATGCCTGTTACAGCAGAATAGGTTTGTATTACCAGCCTTTGACATGCTGTCCTTTGTCCTGAATTTTCTGAATGTTCACAGTAGGGTGTTGCAGCATCACTGTGTCTAATGTATGAATTGCCAGACATTTCTTGGGGAATTTTTAACTTAGTTGCTGACAAAATGTTAACAGAAGACCACTTATTGCTCTTTTTGAAATAATCAGTATCTAACTATTTCTTCCTCTTACTCAGGTCCACGAGTGATGGACTATAAGTATCAGCCAGAGGCAGCACATCGCTGTAAAAGAGATGTGCTGCTGTGTCGTCTCAAAAATTCAGAAGACCCCACCTGGAAGAGGATTCGGCCCCGGCCTGCACGGAACAATTTCCTGGGGGCTTTTGTACTCTGTAAGGGTATGTTTCCCGTGGGGAGTTAACGCTGGAATATGTAGTCTATCAGATACACATTTGATCACCATTACATTTATATTCTGTTGAGTATTCTCTCTCTGCCTGGTCCCACAGAGGTACAGGAGCGTCAGGAGTGCCAGTATGGGGAGAACTGCACGTTTGCGTACTGCCAGGAAGAGATCGATGTGTGGACTCAGGAGAGGAAAGGCGCTCTGAGTCGAGAGCTGCTGTTTGATCCTCTGGGCAGCACGGAGAGGCGGGCACTGAGTGTCACCAGACTTCTGCAGCTCCACATGGGCATGTTCATGTTCCTCTGTGAGGTCAGACCACAGTTTGCTACACATTTCCTCTTTTGATTCTTTGGCGTTTGGAAAAGTGGAAATGGATCTTCACTCGTCTGCCTTAACTTTCTTTCTTAACAGGAATGCTTTGACAGTAAACCTCGCATCATCAGCAAACGCAGCAAAGAAAACTTGGCAGTCTGTTCAAATCTCACAGCTCGACACCCGTTTGACGATAACAAGTGAGTGTAACAGGTTTACCGTGTCTTCACTTTGCTGAAGTAACTGGTTTTCTAATCAGTTTAGCTTTTTCTAATAAAATTCTGATTCTGATTTTTTTCTTTAAGTGGTAAAAGCTGGTCACTGTACAGAAAAGTGTATCATCATGTGCTTTAATCTTACTTTCTCCTGCAGGTGCCTGGTGCATGTGGTTAGGTCAGCCAATGTGCGATACAGTAAGGTGCGTCCTCTTCACCCTCTCTGCCAGTTTGATATTTGTCGGCATGAGGTTCGCTATGGCTGCCAGCGTGAGGACAGTTGCTCCTTTGCGCACTCTGTCATAGAGCTCAAATGCTGGGTTCTGCAGCAGGACACAGGTAGGTAGAAAGCAGACTTAGCTGCAATTTTAATTTGTTCAAGATATTAAATGTAATCCAGTAAACAGTCATTAATAATAGCGCTCACTCTTGACAAATGTCTGACATATTTGAATGTTATGGAAAAGCAGCTGTTGTAAACACAATGACAATCAGCACTAACCAGCAGTTATTAACTGAGCATCAAATAAAGATGCTTTCACTGAGCTGTGACAAACATTTCCTGTAGGTATCACCCATGAAGAGATGGTGCAAGAGTCCAAGAGGCACTGGCAACGACTGGAGCAGAATGCACAGAAGCAGCAGAAGGTGAGGCTGTAAAAGCCCCTGAGACATTTGGATACGTTTTGGATGATCACAGTCCTTAAAAAGTTGTAAATGTCTTTAAATACATGGTAAAAAAAAAAAAATTAGAGGAACACTTTGAAACCATGTCAGATCTTAATGGGGGAAAAAAATCCTCTGCAGAGTCTAAAGTTCAGGCTTGCAGTGTGAGATGGACCGAAACATAATATCTCAGACGTGTCCGCTTGGATTTAGTTCAGACGAAGAAACTGCACCAGGTTAGGGTCTGAAAGTGAATCCAAGGAATTCATCTTGATACCTGAATTCTGTTGAGTTCTGTGTGTTTCTTCATGGATATGTCTCCTCAGACCATCACTAACCCACCAAAAAAATGTTTCTTTTAAAAAGTTGTGGTCATTTAAATAACATCCTGTACATTAGGTAGATAATGGATGCGCACAGGCATCCAACCAGACACTTCCAGGGAACGTGGCCGATCGATTCTAAACGATGATACAGGGAGGATAATCTTCTCCACTGCTTCTCCAGACCCTTTCATGTTTGGGACATGTGCTGATTGTTTGGTGAAAGATATTTACACCAGAGTCCTCCTGTCGGTCATTTTGTAGCTCTGGCAGTTTTTGTCCTGTTCCTTCTTGCACATATCACTCGGCACAGTCACTAAACTGGACAGTA